TGGCGCAACGGTAGCGCGTCTGACTCCAGATCAGAAGGTTGCGTGTTCAAATCACGTCGGGGTCAAAACAATTTTTTTACTATTTTTGTTTAAAATTTGTAATTTTAAAATAGAGACTTCGTACTATTATTCGCCATAAATTTTAAATCAGGGTTACATTTAATATAATATTTACTTATTAATATATAGTGTACACAGCACTAAAGCTCATCTTAACCATTACACCCCTTCGCATTTTCACTGCCTATAGACTAAAGCTCTTTCAAGGAATGCCACAAAACATGATCCAGAGCTACCTGCATTCATCGACATCCTGCATGTCTTACCTGGTCGACATTTCATCTAATGAAATGGTAATAGGCCGGTCATATAGCTCGAAGAATTCACCGCCGATAGGGTAAAAATAGCAGCCTTGTACCGGTATGAGAATAAATGTTTAAAAAAGCAACGGGGCCTTTAGCAGTATTTACGGTAAAGATTTCAACATAAAAAAAAAAACAACTTAATTACGTAACATTTATTTTAATAATAAATTTAATCCACAGAAAAGGTCGGCAACATCTTAGACTAATAGTGTACACGCATCACTGTACACTACCAAAATTTTCTTTGATTTCTGTAAGATATCATTATCAAAATACAGGTACATCTATTTTATCTGTATTTTTAACAGAACCTATGATTTATAATATTATGTACAAGATTTTCTATTATATATGGCCAATTTATTGCACAAGCTAATCACTTTTAATTATAACATATGCACCGTTAAAGCAAAGAACAAATATCAGGCACATTTGAATGTCCATAATATAAACAATTTACTTATAATAAACTCTTTCTATGAGGTTCATATTTATTTTTGCAAGGAGAAATTATAGGATATTTAATCTAACAATGGATGAATTATCACTTCTTGCAAATTAGTCTATTCATATATGCCAAGGGTTAAGATGTTCTTGTTCATAATTATTATATTTACTATTATTGATCTATGATTGTAGAATAAGTGTTGGACTTCTTTCTTATCAAGAGTTTCGTGTCTTAAACCTAGTATGTAAAGTTATAGATACTTAATTTAATTGTTATCAATTATTTTTAAAATATTTTCCGTTTTTGCCGTTAAATATGTAGATTAGTAGATGAATAAATGTGGGTATTGATTGTATGAAGAGGTTAATTTAAACAATGAAGTAATAATTTGGCCAAGAAACCGGCTGAAATAAAATAATTTTAGATATTTTATTTTTTTTAAATAGAATTAGATTTTTGATTTTGTCTTATGGTCGTACCATTTTTTTAATTTAAATTTAATTTATACAGCTTGGGAAAGGTATGTTTAGAACAGTAGTCTTATTTTTAAAATACAGTTGTAAGACAGAACACCGATATAATTTTGACAACATTAATTCAAGTAACTAACTGTTATATTTTACTAGTCACTTACATAGCAAATGGCAAGATCGGCTACTACTGATCTGAATTTTTTTAACTAATTGATAGAATCAGGCGTTACTTTGCGGAAATCCATTATAATAAAAATATTAATTAATTTGCAACCTTCCGGTAACTAAATACAATGATGTGTCTTACCCGGATTGAAGAGCACCTCCCGCCCTCCCTCAATTATATATATGCTCTTTAATCCAGGTAAGACACGTCATTGTATTTAGTTAGCGGAAGGCTGCAATTAATTAATACATATAAACTAAGTAAAAATATAATGAAGAAATCAACAAAATATGAATTTGTTTATGTTACGCATTAAAAATTATTCGATAATGTGTAAATAAGATATGCGGTATGGTATCGAACCAAACTTGTACAGTTCATGATTAGTAATTTGTAAAAAAAAAATTAATAACATGGTGATATAAATTATGAATCAATTATGTTTAGTATTGTCAATGTTAACTGCAACCGCTTGCTAATTTGCAAGTGTTGCAAAATATAAAAGTTTTTCTATATTCGTTTTTCTTACAGATTTCCTTAAATTTGCAACGTTTTAATAAATCGATCAATATATTACGCAGTGTTGTATAAAGTAGTACATTAGCTGCAACACTTATCTTTGCCTTCCCCTCTGGATGATTTTTTTCTAAATTTTATTTTCACGATTATAGAACCTAGTATTATATATATACTAATGCTTGCTGAAAGTGTGATAGCTTTTATGAAATTTAAACAGATATCATCTGTTATTAGGTTCGTCACATCTCGGAATGGAGCAATCCTTTAAGTACCCTCTAATATAATTTTGAATTGATTTAGCAGTTTACATGCCTTCTATAATGTAATGTCCAATCACATACAGCTCTATGGAGCTAGGGAGAGCAATAAATTTATTAGCTTTAATTTAGCAAATACAGTAATATATAAGCCCCGCACGTTAATATTGCGATGGAACCTTGTCACAATAACAGCTGCGTGACGTCATCCACCTCAAAAAAGTTCAGACAACAAACAAGTTAATCTTCTTTTCGTGTGAGGTGTTTTGCCTCTTGTGAAAAAAGTTCATGACCTACGGTTATAGGTATTTATATACATATATTCATAGGCATTTAATTATAAATATTTCCTATTAAATTACCTACTAATATAATAAACGTCAAAGAAGTCTTGTCTATTTGATAACCTCTCAATAAATTTTAATGGACAACTAATAAATAAAACCAAGTATTAAAACATCGATGTTTATTAATACAATTTAATAATTCTAGACTAATTGCTTCAATTACACTCATATTATCATCTAAATCAGAACTAGCTTCAGAGTCCGTTGTATCAGATTCACTGTCATCTGCCGAGTAAAATCTTAAAATGTCAGTCACAATTTGCTTTGAAATTAACATGTCCGCAGTAGTGTCCGAAGCATTTTATATTAGCCGAAGCGGTTTGTATATCTCTATACGCGTAAGCGCTGGCTGACCTTGCAAACGGTACTGACAGTTCGACTAAGTCACTAAGATGGCTGTCAGTCGCAATATCAACTTGCGGGGCTTATACATAGATGCTCATGTTCATTTTGTCAAAAATATACGATAATAACGCGGCATATAATGAAAGCGTGCCTGCATGAAACGATTGATGGTTCGCATATGACAAAATTACTCTTATATATGTAGCGTACGTTTATTGAATTACTACATACAAAGATTTTACGCTAAAGAAAATCTCAAACAACACTTTCGTTATTAAAATAATTATATCTAAATTGAATTAAAAACAATTTCAAACTCAAGTGCTCTTTATTGTTAATCATAAATTTCCATTGTTTAATTTGTACACAGTTTATAATACTGCGTAGTGTCGCGTCAACACACGCATCCAAAAATAATCTTAACAATAACAAAATAAGAATCACAATTCAACGTCACATGTAAAGACAAACTCACATGTTATATATTGCTAATAAACATCTAGAGAAAACTTACAATCTTTATATTAGTAAACAAGCGTATTTTACACGTTTGTTAAAATCAAATCTTTTACAACTCAAAACTATTTACACGTAGACAGTAGACGTAGACAGACGGCCGCTCTATTAACCCGCTGTCTGAATTTTAGTACAGTTCCCTAAAAACCATATTCGAAGCAACATAGTGCCCACAAACTATCGATTTTTAGGTTCGAATACTTTGTTGTTGTAGTCTCCGACACTATCTCTATTGTGGGCAGGCGAAGACATATAAACGTCAGCGTTTGCGCAAGTAATATCGGTGTGTCCAAGATCGATATTGGTAAGGACATAACCCTACCAACTTACATTTAAAAAATGACACGTTGTGCTTGTTACACGCATGTTGTACAAAATAATGCGTTCACATGTCTTGTTGTTGAGGTATGGTGGACAATGTGATTTTTTCACAAGTCACGCTGTACTACACGCATCTTCCATAGTGTGATGAGTTCACATAGCACGTTGAATAAACTAATGTTGCACAACCTAATGCGTTTACATGTCTCATTGTGCTAGACACATTTGCACGACGTGATATGTTCACATATCTCGTTGTGCTACACGCTTGTTGCACAAGGTGATGATACTTTACGTTGTGCTACATGCGTGTTGCACAGTGATACGTTCATATGTCTCATCGTTCACGTATGTTGCACAATGTGATTTATTGACAAGTCTCGTTGTGCTACACAAGTGTTTGCACGACGTGATTAGTTCACGTCTCGTTGTTCACGTATATTGCACAACGTGATGCGTTATATATCTCGTGTTCTTGCGAATTACACAACGTGGCGCATTCATATATCTCGTTATGCTACACGCATGTTGCACAACGTAACGCGTTCACATAATATCACGTAATACACGCACGTACTGCGACGTGTTCACATAGGCAACGTGTACAGGAGGCGGCGGCGTGTTCACGTGGGCAGGGTAGCGTGCAGCGCGCGCGCGACCCACACGACGGCGGGTCCGAGGCGTGCGCGCGCTCACATGTTCTGCCAGGTGTTGGCCACCATGATGTTGGTGTCGAGGCCGCGCGCAATGCGCTCGTGTATGCCGTGGCTCAGCCACAGCATGCGCAGGTTCTCGTAGCGCTCTGGGCACAGGTGCAGGGGGTTACCGCGCCGAAGACCCTGGAAAGGTTAATCTTTTAATTCTATTGCTGCACTAAACTTTATATAAGGAGGTAAAATGGAGATACACAATTTTTTTTAAAAGGTAATATTTCCTGCACGCAGTATATATATATATGATGATTGCTTGTTATCGATGCCATTTTCTTATTACTTAACATCAACCCATTAAAGTGAACTGCTTAACTTGGATCTCTTTTATTGTAGTGGTTTGTCTTAATCGTCATGTACTTTTAACTCTGTAGCCCAGTGCCGGTCTAAATATTTTACGTCCGGCGTATACGATTTAGTTGTCAGCTTGGCGCGGCCAGCAGCAGCAGCTTGCACTCACGCACGCGCAGTGTACGTGCAGTGTACGCACCTGGTCCGTCTCGCCGTACGAGTCGAAGTAGAGCGCGGGCAACATGGCGCCGCGGGCAGGCGCGGGCGCGGCCAGCAGCAGCAGCTCACACTCACGCACGCGCAGTGTACGTGCAGTGTACGCACCTGGTCCGTCTCGCCGTACGAGTCGAAGTAGGGCGCGGGCAACATGGCGCAGCGGGCAGGCGCGGGCGCGGCCAGCAGCAGCAGCTCACACTCACGCACGCGCAGTGTACGTGCAGTGTACGCACCTGGTCCGTCTCGCCGTACGAGTCGAAGTAGGGCGCGGGCAACATGGCGCAGCGGGCAGGCGCGGGCGCGGCCAGCAGCAGCAGCTCACACTCACGCACGCGCAGTGTACGTGCAGTGTACGCACCTGGTCCGTCTCGCCGTACGAGTCGAAGTAGGGCGCGGGCAACATGGCGCCGCGGGCAGGCGCGGGCGCGGCCAGCAGCAGCAGCTCGCACTCACGCACGCGCAGTGTACGTGCAGTGTACGCACCTGGTCCGTCTCGCCGTACGAGTCGAAGTAGGGCGCGGGCAACATGGCGCAGCGGGCAGGCGCGGGCGCGGCGCGGCCAGCAGCAGCAGCTTCACACTCACGCACGCGCGGTGTACGTGCAGTGTACGCACCTGGTCCGTCTCGCCGTACGGGTCGAAGTAGGGCGCGGGCAACATGGCGCCGCGGGCAGGCGCGGGCGCGGCCAGCAGCAGCAGCTCACACTCACGCACGCGCAGTGTACGTGCAGTGTACGCACCTGGTCCGTCTCGCCGTACGAGTCGAAGTAGGGCGCGGGCAACATGGCGCAGCGGGCAGGCGCGGGCGCGGCCAGCAGCAGCAGCTCGCACTCACGCACGCGCAGTGTACGTGCAGTGTACGCACCTGGTCCGTCTCGCCGTACGAGTCGAAGTAGGGCGCGGGCAACATGGCGCAGCGGGCAGGCGCGGGCGCGGCCAGCAGCAGCAGCTCACACTCACGCACGCGCAGTGTACGTGCAGTGTACGCACCTGGTCCGTCTCGTCGTACGAGTCGAAGTAGGGCGCGGGCAACATGGCGCCGCGGGCGGGCGCGGGCGCGGCCAGCAGCAGCAGCTCACACTCACGCACGCGCAGTGTACGTGCAGTGTACGCACCTGGTCCGTCTCGCCGTACGAGTCGAAGTAGGGCGAGGGCAACATGGCGACGCGGGCGGGCGCGGGCGCGGCCAGCAACAGCAGCTCGCACTCGCGCACGCGCAGTGTACGTGCAGTGTACGCACCTGGTCCGTCTCGCCGTACGAGTCGAAGTAGGGCGCGGGCAGCATGGCGCCACGGGCGAGGCCAGCAGCAGCAGCTCGCAATCACGCACGCGCAGTGTACGTGCAGTGTACGCACCTGGTCCGTCTCGCCGTACGAGTCGAAGTAGGGCGCGGGCAGCATGGCGCCGCGGGCGGGCGCGGGCGCGGCCAGCAGCAGCAGCTCACACTCGCGCACGCGCAGTGTACGTGCAGTGTACGCACCTGGTCCGTCTCGCCGTACGAGTCGAGGTAGGGCGCGGGCAGCATGGCGCCGCGGGCGGGCGCGGGCGCGGCCAGCAGCAGCAGCTCACACTCACGCACGCGCAGTGTACGTGCAGTGTACGCACCTGGTCCGTCTCGCCGTACGAGTCGAAGTAGGGCGCGGGCAACATGGCGCCGCGGGCAGGCGCGGGCGCGGCCAGCAGCAGCAGCTCACACTCACGCACGCGCAGTGTACGTGCAGTGTACGCACCTGGTCCGTCTCGCCGTACGAGTCGAGGTAGGGCGCGGGCAACATGGCGCCGCGGGCGGGCGCGGGCGCGGCCAGCAACAGCAGCTCGCACTCGCGCACGCGCAGTGTGCGTGCAGTGTACGCACCTGGTCCGTCTCGCCGTACGAGTCGAGGTAGGGCGCGGGCAGCATGGCGCCGCGGGCGGGCGCGGGCGGCCAGCAGCAGCAGCTCGCACTCACGCACGCGCAGTGTACGTGCAGTGTACGCACCTGGTCCGTCTCGCCGTACGAGTCGAAGTAGGGCGCGGGCAGCATGGCGCCACGGGCGGCGCCGGCGCGGCCAGCAGCAGCAGCTCGCACTCACGCACGCGCAGTGTACGTGCAGTGTACGCACCTGGTCCGTCTCGTCGTACGAGTCGAAGTAGAGCGCGGGCAACATGGCGCCGCGGGCAGGCGCGGGCGCGGCCAGCAGCAGCAGCTCGCACTCACGCACGCGCAGTGTACGCACCTGGTCCGTCTCGCCGTACGAGTCGAGGTAGGGCGCGGGCAGCATGGCGCCGCGGGCGGGCGCTGGCGCGGCCAGCAACAGCAGCTCACACTCACGCACGCGCAGTGTACGTGCAGTGTACGCACCTGGTCCGTCTCGCCGTACGAGTCGAAGTAGGGCGCGGGCAACATGGCGCCGCGGGCGCGCCGGCGGCCAGCAGCAGCAGCTCACACTCACGCACGCGCAGTGTACGTGCAGTGTACGCACCTGGTCCGTCTCGTCGTACGAGTCGAGGTAGGGCGCGGGCAGCATGGCGCCGCGGGCGGGCGCTGGCGCGGCCAGCAGCAGCAGCTCGCACTCGCGCACGCGCAGTGTACGTGCAGTGTACGCACCTGGTCCGTCTCGCCGTACGAGTCGAGGTAGGGCGCGGGCAGCATGGCGCCGCGGGCAGGCCGGGCGCGGCCAGCAGCAGCAGCTCGCACTCACGCACGCGCAGTGTACGAGTAGCACCTGGTCCGTCTCGTCGTACGAGTCGAAGTAGGGCGCGGGCAACATGGCGCCGCGGGCAGGCGCGGGCGCGGCCAGCAGCAGCAGCTCGCACTCACGCACGCGCAGTGTACGGAGTGTACGCACCTGGTCCGTCTCGCCGTACGAGTCGAGGTAGGGCGCGGGCAGCATGGCGCCGCGGGCGGGCGCTGGCGCGGCCAGCAACAGCAGCTCGCACTCGCGCACGCGCAGGAACGCGCCGGCGCCCGCGCCGCAGCTCATCGCGTGCGCCACCACCGCGCCGATGTGTTCCGTGCCGCCGCTGCGTCCGCTCTGCCAAACCATCGCAATTCATTACTTGTGAGTTTTTCATCTACAATGAGCTTAGAAAAACCTAACGGCAATCTTGGCCAAACTTGTGCCAAAACCATAAAGAGCCATAAAAGAATACGGCAACAATCATCTGTAGACGCGCACAAGAGTCTGTACAAGTTAAAAAACAACTAATGAATAGTAATAATGTTATCTGGACCAATAAAATAAAAATCTCGATTAGCCTGGCTTATAAAAATTATAGAATTATAGAACTATACTCTAAAAGAAATTTGATTAATGTGCAGTATGAAATACTTCGTACGTAGTTAGTTAGTCTTCTAATATGCATCTATTTCTCAAACAAAGACAATTGCGAGTAGCACTTTAAGGAAAGAACATTTAGACATTTATTAGAAATGCTATCGCTTTTAGATTAAAAAAAAATACATTTTTATGACAGGCAAGAAACTTTTTACCAAGTCGGATCTGTCATTTGACATATTTATATTTTTGGTCTTTCGAGCTGGATACCGCCAACCCGCCTACTACCTATGGGGAAGGTATACACGTACAACACAACTCGTACAAATTTATCAGGTAAGAATTATAAAATTTAACATCTCCAAATTTAAGTAATAAAATTATTACGAGAAATTAATGTGATACTTATTAATCAGTTACACGAAAAGCCAGGATGCTACTTGAATAAACATACATAGATCATATGACCAATAATTCTTTAGCTTTGAAATAATCGGATCAAAATAGTTCTTCGGTCAGACGCAAACCATAGTTGGACATGGACTTTCCCTCAGAGACACGTGAGGTAGTCGGATTGACATACACAGTAGAGATGGGCCGAATATTCGTTTTATATTCGGTATTCGGCATATTCGGCAGTTTTACCGAATATTCGGCACCGGTATTCGGCAGAATATTCGGCTAATTCACTGAATATTCGTTGAGGTGGTACTAAAGTATCTACTGTATGGAAATGTACGAATTGAGTAATACCATGTCTTTCATAATTTTGCTGTTGAAAATATTTTTATTTATGGGTTAAATTTACTTGTATAGCGTTATGTTTTTGAGGCACTGTAGATTTATTTCCAATTATAGCAAATAGAAAGCTTGATAAAATTTTGTTTGGAATCAAACAAAGAAACATTACATTATAGTCGCAGTTTCTCTAAAATAGGTCCAAATAGTATTTATTTATTTATTTATTTTACCACTTACAACTATCATCACAGGTGTATTACCTAATACAATAGTGCAGTTACAAACTAAGAAACTAGAACAAACATAATATAGGTATATTATGCACAACTTAAAGATATTTTACAATAAGCGGCCTTTGTGAATTCGTTCAGAGTACAGCTGAACAAATCAGCTGTACTCTGAACGAATTCACAAAGCTGATCAAAGCTGTTGTGAGACCACGTTAAGTGCACGCAGCGCGCGCGTCAAAGGCGCGTGCTGTAGCAAGTTGGTGCGCGCTTGCGGCACCGACAAGAGCGGCGGCCGCCGCAGTCTTCCTACGTTTCCTAGTAGATACGTTCCTAGTAGATCCTGCATATTTTCATCATATACTTATCAATTTTCACTAAGAATAACACAACGAAATACTTTTTTCTCGCAAAAATAGTCAAAACATAAGCATGTTCCGGCAATTTGCTCAGTACTATATTTAGATTTAGATGATGCAATAACATGTCAGGTGTGGTGGGGGAGCGAGGGGATGGGTCCGGCGCTAATCCCGCGCAATTTACGGTAACAAGTTTCGACATAAATTGGTTAGGTACCGAGGTAATCCTGCCGAATCATGTTCGGCCGAATATTCGGTTCGGTAAAAAATTTACCGTACTTTCGGCCGAATATTCGTATTCGGTGAAATCCATATTCGGCCCATCCCTAATACACAGTACGAGATGTCTCATCTCTGACTAACTTCCCCAGAGTCAATTCTTACTCTTTACTAGAAAAAAAAGTCAGAGAGAAATTATATTACATGGCCACCACACGCTTTAATAGAACACTGAAATATGCACTCAGCCGCCATCTGTCGGAGACTAGCTTTCCCAGATTCAACTGTTACAATATACTAAGGATGAAATTGAGTGATAGATTTTCCAACATGTTCATCATGTGGTAAAATAGAATACTGGAAATATGTAGATGTACACTAAATATAGAGAAAAACACAAGAATAAGAATAAAAACAAATTCACTCACCTTTCGTACTTCTATTTGACAGCAATAGCTCTGCGAGCACAGTATCTGTCCGCAGACTAAGCACATGGTAGGGAACTTGCTGTCCTCACGTTCCGAATTAGGACAAGAAAATTCTGACACCACATTCATAAGCTCCGAGAAATCTTCCGGCAGTGGTATAAGGCGTGGCGGTTCACTCGGCTCAAGCACAATATGTGGCTGCAATTCACCGTTGAACCACTCATTTGATAACGCTGACCATTCTAACGCCTTCTTCCTCGCTAATGGTGTGTCCATCAACTCTTTATAGGTGCTCGGAAGGTCTAAATATCCACACATAACTTCCCACGTGTCACCATGCACCACAGTTAGTTCTGTGGGTGGTATTATATCGCTCAAAAAGTGGAAGAAGAGACAGCAGCACCTCAAGAACCCATGACATTGACGTTTGATACACTCCCAAACATCGATTGCACTGAGATTTTCAATTTCAAGGTTGCCCCTCCGAAGCTCCTTCATAAAAGTAAGAAGATTTTCAAGATCAGGTTTCGTTTTGAATGTTTGTGTCCCTTCTTGTTCTTCCATTGGTTCGCTGATGCACGATGAAACATCAACCGCTATGAGGGCTTTAGTAAGTGCAGCCCTGAATGCTTCCAAGGTGATTTGTCTAGCTAAATGTGTAGGTCTCGCCGGGCCTGCTGCTTTACAGAATATCGATGGCACTGTTAGAACCAGAGCCACGAGCGTGCCGAACACTTCGTGTGTTAATGGCGATGTACGCTCCAATGTGTTTAACGTGCTGAGTGCATGGTGGGACACATGCTTAGGTAGTGACCACACTGACGGGATAGCTGCTGCTAATCGTACAAGGGCTTGCAAGGCGTCTCTGTGCCTTGAAGGTAGGTCGCCTAATAATGGCCTCCTTTCGGCTTGTAATACGGCATTTGTACTCATTATTGTATATGATGTAGATCGGTACAGCGCCGCTATGGAGACCAATCCACCAGTCTCCAACGAGTTGCACACGATTGGTAGCATCTGAAGAACAAACAATAACACTGCATAAGTAACTTATGAAAAACAACGTAGTAAAAAGTGAGTCCACCGCGTCCTAAGGGTAGTAATCACATGCTATACCCTATCATACGCTGCGAGCTGCGACTACACGGGGAGGCATTACTGGGGGACATATTACTACTCAATGCTCGTTGGCGAATTTCTCAAGTCCTTAAAATATTTTATTTCTAAGATATCATGCAAGTTTTTTTTAGTGATGTTTTTCTTTACCGTCGATCACTTTGTAAATAAGCACTTAAAATTGCAATTAACAATTTCATAAGTGCTGGCAGAGAACGAATGATAGTTTCCCGCTTACTGTGAAATTTACAGCGAGCGCTCAGTCTCTGAGCTACCTCGGTGTTATTCGTAACTTGTGGCATTTACTATAGTGTAGTCACAGTCTAAGAACCTAAAGTAAGCCATCGCGTTTGATGTAGCAGAAGTCGTCTTTCGTTAAAATTTTTGCCGTGACGAATAAAATTGTTAGTGTTGTCACAGGGGATAAAAAATAATAAACTGTTTTCGAAGTGAAAATTTCTTTGAAACTCGATGAAAAGGAAATGCGACACTAAAAAGAGACAAACATATACATCTATAGGATTTGGCCTACGAGAGAATGAAAGAGTATACAGTATACAGATTCCTATTATCTTGGTCTCCTTTTCTGAAGGTTTCACTTCTACTGCGTGTGTACTGCACACTTGTTTTTTTTATTCCACGCTTTAATGAATTAAATAACTTATTCAAACAATTGGTGTCCAGTTATTATACTTCCGGTGCTAAAAATATCAATAGATGCTGCATCAATTATCAGTACATTTGATGGGATGTAATAACCGTATAAATGACATAAATACGTTTTAATAAGCACAGTAACAAAAATAAATAATTATAAATAATAGTCAACTGTCGTACATTTTGTTAGTCGTAATAGTAGATTTTTAGCATTTCAAATTCACAGCGTGACAGGAAAGCCCTGTCGGACAGCGCCCGAACCACTAATAAGTGGATGTTCGGCCTTTCGGGACGTCGTTGCAACGTCTAGACGACTTCGATGACTGATTGTATTATGCGACTCAAATAAGAATAGGACTGACCTGGCGCCATATTGTGATGTTATAAATGTCAATTCAAACCAGTTAGGTATGGTGAGAAAAATTATTGAAACAATAATAATGAAACAATAAATAACCATGAACAAAAAAGTATTAATCCGTATCTAGCAATTCAATTTCGCACATCTTTGCATCACTGTCTGAGTAGTCATCATTATCATCATAATCATTACTGCTCCTTTTTCTTATAAAAATAGAAGACGGAATTATTGTAGTTATTAAAATATTCTACCGACTAGTGTTAGTATTTTAAATTAATTTATAAAAATAATTATGCATTCAATAGATATGGCAATAGTAAGACTCATTTAACCCTTCAAGCGCCATAAAAATCCATTGCAGTCGCATGCGCCCGTCAAATCCCGAGCGGTCGCATGCGACCGCACCCACCCACAGCATTTAAAACCATTAAAACTTACATTTAGAAACTACTTTTCTATGAAAAAGTTCTCTCTATCCAATATAATATATTATATATTATATAGACCACAAGTCTAAACAAGTCAGGTTTTACTTCATTACAAAAAGATTTTATTGTATTTTGATACCAAAAATGAAAAACATACCAAGCGAATGTCGGCAGCGTGAAAATCACAATTATTGCAATATATATTACTCGAAATTATTCACCTAAAAAGATAAATTATACTCACACAAAAACCTTCATATATTTTTCATACATTAATAAATAAAACACTATAAAATTAATAACATTCAAGCGAAAATGGCGTAGGAAATGAACGTAGATTATAAATAAATATTCATAGGATTACAGTTTTGTTATTGCACTAGAGGATAGAGTTTTCTCTTTTTCATATTGATTACATAATGCCAAATTTCTTCATAGAAAAGTAGTCTCTATATATAAGTCTTTATGGGTTATAGTGCTGTGGGTGGGTGCGGTCTCATGAGACCGCTAAGGGGTTGAGAGGTTAAATAAAGCGGAAAAAAAAACTGTTATTAATGCGCAAATTAATTTTCTTTGCAAGCCGTACTTTTCAAGCGACAGTTAACAGATCACGGTTATTCAGTCATTGTCGTTTCAATTTTTACTTTAATCGCACTGTATGTTTTTAGACTGTGGGGCATGGTGTGGTGTGGTGGAGTGTGTGGTGCAGTGTGTAATGTGGCTCACCCGCACGAAGTCCTCGACTAGTGCGGCGACGAGTTCGTAGCTGACGGGCGCGGAGCCGAAGTGCGCTAGGAGGTCTGCGGGCAGCAGCGTCTCGGCGTGCGTGGAGGCGTACACCTCGGCCTCAGCCTCGGCCTCGTCTTCGGCCTCCGACGACGCGGCGCCCACGCTGCGCGCTCGCGCGCGGCAATGCATCTCCTCGCAGTACTCCGTGCACACGTGCACCGCCTCCGACGATACCTGAACAATCAACATATATCAACAAAACAAATAATAAAAAATATCAGTCAAAATATATCATTGTCATCACAAAAAAACAGCAAAATTGGTCAACCAACGTAGGTTATAAAAAAATTGGAGATTAAGAAATAATAACCTTTTATTTTATACGTCGAGGTTAAATGTAACATTTCCAAATTTATATATAATAAACTTCCTATCTCTCTCACTCGCTTTCTCTCTCTCTCTTTCTTTCTCTTTCTCTCTCTCTCTCTCTCTCTCTCTCTACTTAATAACAATTGAAAAAAACTATAAATATATTTACTACTTTAAGCGATAATAAAAGATTAAGTGGGGAATATAATATAAGAATATAAGTGAGGAAGTAAAACGTTGACGTTATCTATATCAATTCAACAAATTATATGTAATTTATTACATTGGTTTTATAATTTATAAACCTATTTAACTATAAGAGCAAATAAATATATAAAACAATGTATTGAACACTAAAACTACGCACAAATTGACTATTATTTTGCATGTATCACAAACCACAAAATTTTGCAATGATTCTTTGTAATAACTTCAGCAACAAAGCTCTATCAAAGGGTTGTTTACACACGGTACATTACTATATAACTAGCATACTTTTTAATTTTATTAATAATTATTTCTCGTAAGTTAAAACATGATCATTCGAGCGAATAACGACTGGGCTGGGGCTCCCCAGTACCAGCTCCTTCCACTTGACCGCATCCAGCGCAGAGCGGCCCGAATCGTCGACGACCGAGTGCTTTCCGATCGCCTCGATTCACTGGCACTGTGTAGAGATGTTGCATCTCTTTGCATTTTCTTTCGCATATACCATGGAGAGTGCTCTGAGGAATTGTTCGGATTAATCCCAGCCGCCAAATTTCGTGAACGCACTACGCGGCAAACGTCCCGATACCATCCACACCATCTGGATGCTTGGCGGTTCACCACTGTACGTTTCAAAAGGAGTTTTCTTCCGCGTACAACCTCTCTGTGAAATAGTTTACCACCGGCGATTTTTCCGGACCGATACGACATGGGGACCTTCATGAAAAGAGCTTACTCCTTTCTAAAGGGCCGGCAACGCACCTGCAATTCTCCTGGTGTTGCAGTTGATCTTGGGCGGCGGTAGTCACTTAACATCAGGTGAGCCGCATGCTCGTTTGCTATAAAAAAAACCGAAAAATTATGACAGAAATACTTTCTTAAATACTACCACAATGTACCTTAGGAAAAAAACTACATAAAAACGAAATTAACATAATAATTACCTGATGTTTAAGCTTTAAAATGAGATCGACAGATTCAGCGAATGTTCCTTCAGAAAGTGGAGGCGGAGTGCCGCCCAGTAACGACGGCGCAGGAAGAAGAGGTAGAGCAGTATTACACAACCGCTCACACAATGGACAAAGGTATTCTTTCTTCTCCACATCGAAGGCCGCTGGTTGGCGAAGTCGATAGGGCCTAGAAAAGTAACAAATTCTATTATTTTTATATTTTTTATTTTTTAGGGTTCGTCAGGAGCAAAAACTACATGATGAGAAAAAAAGATGAAATTAAAGTTACAAGGAAGTGTAAACGAAAACAATTGGCAAAACTTATTATCGCATCAAAATTATAAGAATCTGTTTTTTCTGCCCAACATTGCTAGAGAATAAGAATATTACTGTTAGTGTCGCAAAACTAAAATTAGCATTAAATCAATGTCTATGTAGAAAGGATTAATCCCTGAACCATAAGACAGTGTGTGAATGTGCGTATGTTATATGAATATAGCGAAGGATAATTTTTTTTAATTTAGAGTCATGTGTTACGTAACAATCAATTACGCCACACGAATCGAAATGTTGAATGATTAAAATGAAATTTTATTAAAAATAATAAAAATAATTCAAAATATTATTTATTATAAGTTCCGACAGTTTTCCACCATTTTGAAAGGAAAGAGATGATACTAGACACACTCGACTTCACAGTATTTCACAGTAATTCAATCTTGGGGCGATGTATACGCTTTTACAACAAAATCCCAGAAAATATACAAAATTTGTCATACACAAAGTTCAAAAATGTTATTAAACTAAGTTTGTATAAAACGGGTTATTATAATATTAAGGAATTTATGGATGATACCCCTGGGAAGGGTGATCGCTACCAAACTATTTCTAATTTGTCTTCTGTTGTTAATTGTAAACATGACTGTAAGTTATTGTTACGGCCTTCAGTTGCCCCGACAAAAGTCGACTGGGCTAGGGCCCATCGTAACCCAACTCGACGAGCAATCGAGGGTTCGTGCCCAAATGGCTTATGGATAATTAATTTATAATGGCTGGATAAGCAAACACAAACTTACCGAGTTCCGGAGGTAGGGTCGACCACAAGGTACCGTCAGGGGCAAGTAAATGGTATGTGTAGCAGAGATATATGTTAAGAAAAACAAGGATATCCATTGCTAGAGCGAGAGGATGAGAACCTCTTATCAATTGACGTCATATCCTGTAGATAAAATTTGCTTAAAACTTTGTTTAAAAGATGCGATTAAAGCTTTATATTCTGTTTTAGCTGTCTATTTGTTTAAGATAAATGTTAATCATGATAAGACCTTTGTAAATTGAACCATATTTCTTAATATAAGTCATAATGAAGATTAATATTTAAGATTTTAAGGTGTACAACATGTATGATAAGATGTCTTCTTCTTCTTCTCCCTGGCTATTGTCCGATTTTAATTGGGGTCAGCCCTCCTAGTAATCTTGCGACACATCGCAATTTGTATTTTGTTTTTAATTTGTAATTTGTATTTGATTGTGGGTTGTCCTTTCTGATATGTTAGTAGATTTCAGGTCGTTTTTTAGTGTTTGCAGCCAGGTTATTGATGGTCGTCCACGGCCTTTCTTCACCTCTTCTATGTTCATAACTCTTTTAGTCATATGGTCATCATCCTGTCTCATCATGTGTCCGTACTAGCGTAGACGGTTTTCTCTAAGTTTTTCGTGCACCATAGCAACCTTAAAACTACCACGAATGTAATCGTTTATTTTATCTGTTCTAGAAACTCCTCCAGACGAACGTAGCATTTTCATCTCAGTGACGTGAATTTTCCGTTCATCCGTCTTTTTCATTGGCCAGCACTCAGATCCATATAGCAGAGCTGGTCTTACTGCTCTTTTGTATACATTGCCGTTTATTTTAATCGGCATACGGGAGTCGCATAGAATGCCAGACAGCGATCTCCATTTTAATCAAGCTGTTTGGGTTCTATATGATACAATGTATCCGAGATATTTAAACTCTTCAACTCTCTTAAGAGGACTGCCTTCAATAGATGGACATGAAATAGCATTCACATTGGCATTAGAAAAGTTACAGTACATATATACAGTCTTCTCTCTATTGAATCTCAACCGTCTCTCTATTGAACCTCTCTATTGAATGGCAACCGGCCGTAAAAATACACTGCCAAAACAAAAACAAAAATCTCCTAGTATGAAAGCAAAGCATAAAAGAAAAAATATAAGGGCTAGGGCGTACCCCTCAAGCGACGACCAAATACGATCCCAAGCGAAAAATGCTAAGGCGCCCCCTGTAAGCGACGAAACAAGACGCAGCGCGAATAATTTGCGTATAGCAACATGGAACATCGGTTCCCTTACCGGACGCAGTCAAGAATTACCAAACATATTGCATGCACGAAATATTAACATATGTTGTATACAGGAACTCAAATGGAAAGGGTCAAAATCCAGGGATATTGGTAGAAACTATCAACTATTGTATAACGGCACATCTTCGACAAGGAACGGAATCGGCATCATCCTCGACGAAACATTACAACAACGAATAATCAAAGTAGAAAGAATAAGCGACAGAATTATGTACGTGAAATTAGCTTTAGACAACAAATTAACTCTTAACACAGTCTCAGTATATGCCCCTCAAGTTGGATGTAGCAATGAAGAAAAGATCTGTTCTGGGGAAACCTAGAAGACCTTTTCGTAACCATACCTTTAGACGAGAAAAAAATTATAGCAGGGGATTTGAATGGCCATGTAGGTATGAAAGCACCTGAAAACTCAAACATACATGGAAATTTTGGATATGGCACCTTTAATAGCCAAGGTCAGGATATAATAAATCTAGCGAACCAATTTGATCTCCCGATTTTTAACATTTACTTCCAAAAAAAAAGATGAACACCTCATCACCTACAAAAGTGGTGGTTTAGCCTCTCAACTAGAAATTTTTCTTTTTGACAGATCGATTCTCCGCAATTTTAGGGACTGTAAAGTTATACCAGGGATTCCACTAACAACCAAACACAGGCTACTGGTAACCTGTCTGAAAATGCCAAATTGGAATACAAAAGAGAAATATCAAAATCATGAACCCCGCATAAAATGGTATAACATACACAAGGATAAAGGCACTTTATTTATTGATCAGGTTGATAAATACTTCAAAGAGACACTTCAAGTCCCAAAAGACAGCAACACTCTATGGAACGAATTCCACATGTTTTGCCTAAAAACCGCCAGAACAACCCTAGGTATTACAAAAGGAAAATTGAGGATTAATAAAGATCCTACTTGGTGGGATGAGAATGTTAAATCTCTGTTGTTGGAGAAGAAAGAATCTTTCAAGAAATGGCAACAATCAAAAAGTGACAGCGATCGACTGGATTACAATATAATTAAAAAGAGAGCTAAAAAATGTGTTGCAGTAACAAAAGCACTATCCAAATATCACTTTTACAAAGAATTAGAAAACGCAAAATCAGACGCAGAAATATTTAATAATTTAAATATTTCTGCGTCTGATTTTGCGTTTTTAGTTATTTAGTTTTTTTGTTATAGTTATTTCGATGTTTTGCTAATGCAAAACATCGAAATAACTAAACAAAAGATATCAAACGTAACAAATGAATCAGACTCATCGGGTAAATTGTTAACCACAAATAAAGAAATTAGTAAGAGATGGCGAGAATATTACCAAAAACTACTGAACGAGAAATTTCCATAGGAATCACTCGCATCTCTCGGATCCACGGAAGGACGAATTGAGGAAACTTCACCCCAGGAAGTAAAGGCAGCCATTCAAAGAATGAAAAATAGGAAAGCAACCGGACCGGATGAGATTCCAGCTGTACTATGGAAAAATGTGGGCAATACCGGCGTAGCATGGCTGACAAATCTATTTAATGTAATCCTTAAAAGTACCAAAATACCAGATATGTGGAGAAACAACAATTTGATACCCCTATACAAAAATAAAGGGGATGTTGCAGACTGTGAAAATTATAGAGCAATTAAACTAACTTCTCAGACCCTTAAGATCTGGGAATCTGTCCTCGTTAAAAGACTTGCAAAAATTACAAAAATTACACCGAACCAAAGTGGATTCACTAGCGGCGTGGGCACTACAGATGGAATTCACTCAGTAAAAATACTTATGGAAAAGTACAAGTCACGCAAACAAGATCTTCATCTTATTTTCATTGACCTTGAAAAGGCGTTCGACCGAATTCCTAGAGAACTAATCTGGCAAGCACTAAGGGCGCAATTGGTGCAGGAGCATTATATTGAACTCCTCAAAGATCTGTACCACGATGTAACTACAAAAGTGGTCAGCCCAGCAGGGACAAGTGAATCATTCGAAGTCGGAGTAGGGGTTCACCAGGGTTCGACCGTAAGCCCTCTTCTATTCAACCTAGTAATGGACTATATCACTGCGGACATTCAGAAACCAGCACCGTGGTCACTTCTATACGCTGATGATGTAGTACTTACTTATAGCCGAATCGATGGCGGTAGTACAATCAGACCTGACAATATGGCAGAAGTCCTTAGAAAGACGGTATAGCTAGAAAAGTATACCCCTATGGAGAATTGTTCGCAATTTGTACCAATGACATCCCCACCCTGGCAGGGCATCTGCGCGAATGGGAGGACGACGTCGAGCTGGCGCTATTTGCGGATGACAGCGCCTACTTCACCTCGTCCAGAAGAGCCCACATCGCCACTGCCAGGATGCAACGTCTGCTGGACCTGCTGCCACCATGGCTGGATGAGTGGAGGATGGCCGTCAACGTTAGCAAGACGACCGCTCTGCTCACTCGCCGCTTCAGAAGACTTCCACCACCGCTAACCCTCAGAGGCCAGGAGATCGCATATGAGAAGGCCGTGACCTATCTTGGATGCCGAATTGACAAGATGTTGCGCATGACTGCGCACGTCGACTTCGTCGTCCGCAAAGCTTGATGTGCGCGGGCGATGCTCCATCCAGTCCTGGTATCCAAGTTACCGACAAAGTCGAAGTTGACCATATATAAAATGTACATAAGACCCCTGCTAACATACGCTGCTCCGGCCTGGTATGCGCTCCTGAGCGATCGACAGAAGCGGCGACTACAGGCCCAGCAGAATTTGTCATTACGAACCGTCGCTACGTCCGGAATGACGTCATAGCGGCCAACATCAAAATAGAGAGCTTAGACGATTTCGTGGCCCAGCTGGCGCGCGGTATGTTCGACCGCGCCGACAACGGGCCGCATGAACACCTCAACGGCTTTGCGCCGTTGCACTCACGGCCCCCGGACGGGCGACCCTATCCAAGAGAACTCCTCCCTATATAGATTAGGGAGTCGAGTAAATACCACAATGCCGCAGATAGGCCAACTCAGACAAAATATTTGAGTTAAACACAAATATCGAGATAACCTCTTTTTTCTTGAAAATTACCCGACTGCGACAAAAAGTCGCCATTTGCATCAACAACGCCTTTTAACACCAAAGGCGCCCAGGACAGGCACACTGTAGTGTGCCGTGAGGAATATCCGGGTAAAGGGGTATACTCCGAGGCCCGATACCTGCTGGGCAGAAAGCCCATGCAGATGACAACAGCTCAGCTCGCAATTTGTTCGACTTCTTTGGTTCGTTCTATCTTCAACTTCTTCGGTTTAAATGCTCAAGTTCGACTACTCAAGTAACAGTTATCACATTTCTCAAGATTTTCAAGAAAATTGCTGTTTTATTCCCAGTGTCGACACTAAAAGTTAGGAAAAGTGAAGTTATTATACAGTCCACATATTTGATGTCTAGACCGGGACCAAACGTGGACCCGTAATCTCATGCATCAACCACCTTTTAAGATTAACGTAGTTTGAAGTAGACGTTATCGAAAAATACGCCCATTGCGTTATATGAAACCCAACGTAGTGTGGCTTAGCCAAGGGGACAGATCGACGAGTTAGAAACTGGAAGACACGCCGGGTTACTACAGTGACAACCAGCGTGAAGGGTTTTGATTAATGGTCCTTCGGAGTGAAGGGTCGATTCAGAAACGCCGATCCTCTTTAATTACCTTATCTTCTCCTTGTCGCGCACTGCGTCAACGTATTTGCGCCAGCAGCGCGCGTGCAGTGCGTGCCCACAACTGGACACGTGGGGCTGGGCGCCCAGCCCAGCGGTGGGCCAGGCATCGCGCGTGCATCGAGGAGGCGCCCGCTCTCTACTCAACACGCTCGAGTGCTGCACGAATGCGACCAAAACAAGCGGCTCTGATTTCGCCTCCACTCGTGCCTGTGAAAAGTGTAATTTTATTGTGAAAAAGAATTTTTTTGGAAAATTGTATTTTTTTATCGTTTGAATATTTTTTAGGGACCACTTTCTAGTAAGAATAATCCAAACCCAAATAATACATCTTGAAAGACTTGCCATTACGCATGATAAGCGGATTGTTGAGACAGTAATAATAACATCCCACGGATTATATTCCTCAGTCTTGTAAAAAAACGTAATAAAAAAATAGAAAAATTATTTAAATGTTATATAATAAATATATACAATAAATCTAAAAAAATTCAAATAAACTTTAAATTAAATCACATTCATCATTTTATTACATTGCCCAATTTATATGATATAAAAGGCTTGTTGCGAAATTCACCTATTTTATAAAAAACATTATTTTTTCATAAAATCTTATATTTAATTAAATTCTATCTACCTTATATTTAATCTTATTTTATTCTTGTCTATGTACATAGGTAAATTGAGGGGTCTAATTTAAGTTAAAATTTATTTTCTTCTTTTTAGAGCATATAAATAAAACTTAAAAAAAATGTTTTTATTATTAATATTTTTTTTATTTTTTCGTTATCGTTGGACATGTTTCTAAGTCCGTTCATTTCATCTAATTTGTCATTGTTGGTTTTTGATTGCCATCTCGATCCGCCATTATGATTTTTTTATCGCCAGCAGTTGTCCCTTGTCGGTCTCTACAACATTTGTTCCAGCACTAGCAACTAACCTTTGCTAAGTCATAACTCTATAAAATTGGTATGGCGGCCATGTTGTTTTCCGCCATTTTAAAGTTTTTTTACCACCACCAGAATGTTTCCCAGGTCGATATTAGTTAAGACACGACCTACCAAACCTATCATATACCATCTCGAAGAGCTGAATACGGACGCCGCAGTGTTTTTCACAACAAACCCTTCCTTTGATATCCATATCATGGGGGTGCATAGAAAATAACTAGTCTGCCGTCTTGGGCGATCCGCCATATTGGATTTAGAATGACGTCACTTAGCGAACCATGCATTGTCATCCAAACTAAACACATTTGCAAAATTTCAGCTTAATCTATTGAGGATGACTGCTTCGAAATTCATTTGCAAGATTTGACCCTAATAAACTACAAAGCAAGCTAAATAAAAGCTTTTAAAAAGGTAAATGGGAATGTATGAGAAGGTGCAATTGTGTAGTTCGTATGCGAGTAAAAGGATTGGGAAGTGTAAACAGCGTAGTGTGTAGATTATGCGTGCGAGCAGAACACAACGTGACGACGATATAGGTTGTGTGTGAGCAGAACGGTTGGAATGTATGTGACAATGGCTGCGTTTGGCAGAAAAAAGCGCTAGCAAGCGCTTGTATGCAAAATGGCGATCGTAAGCGGTAAGCGCTGTCAAATCGTAAGTAGCTATTTTCCTCTAGGACACGAAGTCAGCTTTAACCGGGGAACCTAACCTAATTTAAATATATGTTTGTATTCATATTAAAAACTTACCGATCATAAATTTTTAATAATCATGTTGTATAATATGTTTATTCATGTCATTATATTATTTGAAACTAATATTGCACAAAACAACTTATAAACTCTACATCAAAACAAACAAATTAAATAAGCAAAATGGCGGATTGTGTCAGCGCTTCAGAAGTTAGCAAACGTGTCCTGGCCGAAAACTGTTTAGTTTCGCCATTTTGCTTACAAGCGCTTGCTAGCGCTGTTTTCTGCAAAACGCAGCCAATGTATGCGATATAAAATGATGTGTGTCTATCGGTAGTGTGTGTAGTGGCAGTCACCTCCTCCTGGCACATGATGCAGACGCGCGTGGCGTCGGGCACGCCGCCGCCCCACACGCCCAGCGCCGCGCCCGCGTACAGCGGACGCAACACCTGCTCCTCGGCCGTCACCTGCCACAATATGCTAGCCTTATTACAAAAACGATTAATAACATTTTTCTCTACACTAAAGTAATATCCCATGGGTATTGTAGTAGAAGACTATGAGAATATATGTTATTACGATACCCATGGGACGAAATGGGCTCTCATGATTTTCGATAGATGGTACACAACCAACCCGTTTGGTATAGACGTAAAATAGTACGGACAACGAGCAACATAGTACTCAAAAGTAATCACTGCAACTGGCAATCCCTTTACCCAGCGTTATGGTAAATCTTCCCTACGGCAGGAGTGGATTAAAACAGACGGACACGCTTAAAATGAGCTAGTCTTAAAATAATTTTAAGGGAAAGAGAATTATCATGTTAGTAAAACAATAATAAAACTGAATATAGATAGGCAAAAGAGAGAAATAAAGAGAAAGAGAGAGAGAGAGAGAGAGAGAGTGATACGTCTAAGCAGTTAAGAGGCTGGAACTCCGTGACGGAGCGGTTTAACATTGAGTTGCGACGCTGAGAACTGAGCTCTTGTACCGTGGAGGCAGTTTATATTCGGAACAAGTACATGTATGTTAACTGCTTCCACAGTACAAGAAAAAATCTAGAGTAGGGGTTATAAAAAACACTTCCTCCTCTCATTTCTAAAAATGTTAATGACCCATTCAGTCTGCTCTACTAGCGCGTGTTGGCGAATTTCACAACTCCCCGAAATATTCTCTTCCTAGACATGCAGGTTTACTTACGACGTTTTCCTTAACTAACCGCCGAGCCCGTGGTCAAAAAACACAATGTAATAACATTGTGGCGGGCTCTACAGTAATATCTCATAAAAGTTATATTTTACCCTTCGAGCGAACTAGAGCGAAAGGCATATCTTAATGTCGTCTAAACATATTAAAACTTCATCTCCTATTTTGCCACCATCCAGGGTTAAATTTATTTTTCCCCAAATATTTTCATTAATTTAAATAAGAATCACAAAAATCTATATACAATTGACGAAGACATCGCGTACAAAAATCATTCAGTTGAATTGAAAGCCTTCTTATTTGAAATCAGCTAACGACCTAATGATACATGCTGGGAGTTGATAGATGCACGTGGCTCTTGAAAGGTTCCACCAATCTATGAAGTGGTTATGTTTAGCTTGACTGATGATGGGTTATTAAGATGAACGATGATGATGATAGAAATATAATTTTACCTCCGTGGTTGTTTCCTCGAAAAGCACAGCATTGTTGGATATGAAATTGTTCATTTGTGTCTTCATCTGAGCCATCAGCTTCGCGCGCCTCTCTGCTGCCAACTTGGCTCGCCTTGCTTTCTCTGCATCTGCAACAGGAACGTGTATATCGTCAGTCCATATTACGTATGATGTTTTACTGACCAATTTCACCTCATCCACACACTGATCGCTTTTAGTGAAACGTATGAATGAAACGCGTCGCAATCACCACGTCCACAAGTATAGGGTTTTGTATGTGAAAGGTAATGTACGTATAAGTGAACGTTCCTCTGCTTATAGCAAATGAAATGTAGAAAGGCCGGAGAGAGTAATACCATTCTGTGCGTCAGCGCGACTTCCGAATAATCGAAAGCTATCAAGAGCGCTAAAGATATTTTTTGCACTAATGTACATACGACATTGGATTCACAGGTAGCTGCAAATAAACACGCATTGCGAACGACGCACAAATGCAATGCAAGCCCGTATCCGTAGACTAGAAACTATCGAGTAACATTAAAAGTTACTGTATGTACTGTGTGTATGTACGTTAGTGCAAAAAATATCTTTAACTTTACTTTCGAAACATTACTCGAACATTTTATTCGAAATCGATTCATATTTTGGTTTTGCTCGAAAGAAAATTTACATGTGCCCATTGCTAACCTATGGCATTGAAAGAACGATTTCACAGTATTCGAAGGATGATGATATCCCTATCATATATGCTGATGGGAAAAGCAAAATGGTCAAGGTGCAAACCTTGAAAACTTATTTTGCCTGCAAAACTTATCTCACACTGGCGATGCCCACGTTAAAAATGGACAATTAACAAGCAGTTTAAATCAAACTAGAAATTATTTTAAATATCTCTTAAATATCTAAAGATTACTATAACCAGTAATACTTTACCAGCTGGATCTTCAGCAGATTGCTTGTCCTCTTGATCGGTTTCCATATTGTCACCATCGCCCGCGTGTTCATCGGTCTGGCCTAAGAGTGCCCTGTAAATGAAAAAGTTTTTAATTGCTGAACATCCAAGACATACAAGGATGATTCAGATAATGCGGACCGAGAGCTCAAAGTCCTGGGTCTGAATCCGTGCCATTTAACTACCGTTGTGAATCCTTACACAAGCATTTCAAGTTTACCTGGAGTGGTAAGTGGGAACATTAGTTATGTTAATAGTATTGCTAGTTTAAAAAAATATATAATAAAATTTAGATATGGCAATAAGGCTCCGATTCGGAACGAATCTTAAGTGAAAGTCTCAGTAAGTCAGACCAGATACAGCATATCTAGTAGTGCCTTAGGACTGTGCCTTGTGGTAATCTATTTTCTGCAGTATGTAAGATCATGTAATGATAACAAACTTGGACTGTTTGTAGGGTTTTGATGATAATGAAAACAGCACTTACTTGATCCGCGCGAGCAGCCATTTAGCGAGTGGGATGTGAGCGTCCACACGTGGGCAAGTGGTCAGTTTCTGCAGCAAGGCGAGAAGGCCGCTGCGCTGTGCACTCTCAGCGAATGCTAGGAACTCATAGTGACCACTCTCTTCGTCGCGAATCGCGTAGCCTATCAGATGTAGGGCCTGAAATAAATAATTTTGTGTTACTAATCTCCTATAAGCAAGGAGGTACAGTTTGTTCTGAGTTGAAATCTGGCCTGGAGAACAGTGACTTCCTTTGCGTCTTTGACAATTTATTTCAGCAGAGTCAATTGGGTAGCATATCAAACTATTAAATTTCAAAATTTGAGATTATAATAAACCGAAATGTTTAAGTCTGGTGGTTTGTGTTTTGATCATAGAATACTATAATACATACATAATAGAATGGGGAAGTGGGCGGAGCCCGTGTTTTTTTTTTTTTTTTTTTTTTTTATAGAAGAGGGGCAAACGAGCATGGGGCTCACCTGATGTTAAGTGACTACCGCCGCCCATGATCAACCGCAACACCAGGGGAATTGCAGGTGCGTTGCCGGCCCTTTAGAAAGGAGTAAGCTCTTTTCTTGAAGGTCCCCAGGTCGTATCGGTCCGGAAATATCACCGGTGGTAAATTATTCCACAGAGAGGTTGTACGCGGAAGAAAACTGCTTTTGAAACGTACAGTGGTGGACCGCCAAGCATCCAGATGGTGTGGATGGTATCGGGACGTTTGCCGTGTAGTGCGTTCACGAAATTTGGCGGCTGGGATTAATCCGAACAATTCCTCAGAGCACTCCCCGTGATAGATGCGATAAAATACGCAAAGAGATGCAACATCTCTTCGCAGCGCCACTAAAATGCCACTAACACGTCAATACACACATATAACTGTCAACACTGTCTGACGTTACAATCGTTTCCAAATTTCGCATGCAAATTATCTAGAAAATGCCAAATTGTACGCTATTTACAAATAAATATATATTAAAATCCGTCTGTCAACACAGCGAATCGGGTTTGTAGTAGAGATTAACTGATAATACGACGTAATTGCTTGTATGTGTGCTCCCGACGACGCCAACCCTCCTACAAAATAAGGTTGACAGCCATTCTATTGTGTATTATAGTTGTGCCCTTTGTTTTGTTCGTTTCCTTGTTGCAGCCAGAACAACGGAAGTGTACGTGACGGGACGGCAGGCACCTTGTGCACTTGAGTCTCGGAGAAGGAGCGCGCGCGCAGGTCCAGCGCACGCTCCAGCACGCAGCGCAGCACGTGCAGCGCCGCGTCGCTCTGCAGCAGGCTGGCCAGCAGCCGGAACGCCGGCGACAGCTTCGGTAGCGGCGGCGGCGGGCAGCACTCCGCGAGCCCTGATACAAACGTTGACCACTCGTTACAAAAATGTCGTCAAGGAACATTCTGCAGGCTTAAAAAAGTTAGCTTTCTCGATCGATAATGCTGAAAGCAAGCTATAAAAATGAATGGGAACGTGCCTTATCAATCCCATTTATGGTCTATCTTTTTTTTACAAATTTCTATTAGCGTTATCTATAGCAGAATGACAGCTTGCCTAAAGCAAACAGAAATTATTCCACATATAGTTAAATAATTAAATAAGCTAAGCTATGAGAAAACAAGTGTTTTTTAATTTTCCTCGTTATTAAAAAAGACGCTGCTGCCCATCTCCTGATTTGTTTCCCTCTGTTCGCCTCTTACGACACCCACGGGATATGAGGTAGAGGATATTCGTATACCGCCACTACTGTGGTAACTTAAGCTTGCCTGTTTCTACTATTTTAATTTTATTACATATATATATATATATTTTTTTAACGTTCACATTTTTAATAAAATAGTATTTTAATATGTGGTCTCCCGAGCTGGACCTTATTTGTTTGTATATACTACAATAAAACTCTAACACGAAGACTTCTGTACATTGAATTATTTTTTGAACCTTGAATTCGGGTACACTAGACTATCAATACAGATGCCAAAACAAAAATGTTTGGAAACGTTGTGTCTGTCTATCTGAACACGCATCACACAAAAACCATAGAACGGATTTGGTTGGGACTTTCACTATCGTGTTTTATTTTTACCCATTTTCTTAACACTTACTGTCCGATTTTCAAACAAAATAGTAAGACAATAATAGCAATGACCTATACGTAGTACACGGGGTACAACGACACGGGCGCTATACCATTTTGTTATACCAAACTTGTGTCTGGAATGGAACTGGAATAAATTTAGTCGCTCCCAATCTGAAACTTTGTTCAGCAAAGATTGTAATTCAGACACAAGTTTGTTCCAGTACTCCACGACGTTTTCCCGAGAAATATTGGCACAGCCGGTGTATAGAGCATCACCAGTGCTATCATCCGCATAGCAATAAATGCTACCGGCTTGCAATACATTATTGATATGCAGAAGAAACAGCGTTGGTGATAGCACGCAGCCTTGTGGAACACCAGCATTAATAGCCTGGTAATCGGAGCATGCATCATTCACTACTACCTTGATGCCCCAATCTGCAACAAAGCTGGTGATCCTAGTCCATAGTTTCTTGGGAAGCCCATAAGATGAAAACTTCGAAAAAAGCATTTTGTGCCAAACCCGATCGAAGGCCTTTGATGAGTTCAAACTAACCGCCAAGGCCTTCCACTTGGACTCAACCGCCTGCGCCTATCGGTGTGTTAGGTAAATAAGAAGATCACCTACCGAGCGACCCTGACGGAAACCGTGCTGGCGGTCACTAGTCAGCTGGTGCCCCCCAAGATACCGCGTGAGCTGGTAGTTAATGATCGACTTCATTATTACGCGATAGACCTGTAATTGGACGGATCAGAGCGGTTACCGTTTTGAGGAATCTGGTGCATGAAGGCTGTCTTCTACGGATTTGGGACTACGTCTAGAGTAGGAGTAACGGAAAAAACGCGTTAAAACCCGTGCTAATTCTGGAGCACACGTCCTCAGCACAATTGGGGGATCCCCGGATTCCAGGATTTCCGGGAGTCCCGGAAACGATGCTGCCACACTCAGTCTTCAGTTTTGACAGTTGGCTCTTTCTGGCAGACAGATCTCTGGCAAAGACTGGACGCCCTGGTTCCGCTCGATCGCTTCCTCAATACGAGCAGTATTAAAGTTGCGTAAGTCTCGCCGCATGCATTTGGAGATCTGTCTGTTCAGTTGCCTGTATGCTGTCAAATCTGTTGACGATTGCAGCCTCATCTCCCCTCTAACAGCCATGAGATTAAGAGCGTGATCGGAGAGTTTTTGTGTTCTTCTGCTGCGGGTCTTGCAGAACTTAGCTCCGACCGCATGGACAGTTTCCACGAGCTTGTCATTCTGGGAAGCCCATAAGATCGGTCCACTGCAATCTTCTAGGCACTGAAAGCGGTTACGTAACTCGAGCTGAAAAGTCTCGGGATTCTGGATTAGAGCACGAGGGGGGACGGAGCTTTGACTTTATTAGACGTGACCTCTCCAACTTAACGTTTAGGTTCAGTGTGCCCCTAACTATTCGGTGATCACTGCCAATTTTCACCCTTGTCTTGCGATCACTGAGACATCATTGAACAGTTGCCGTCTAGTCGTCATAATGAAATAAATCTCATTTTTTGTTGAACTCCTACCCGTTTCCTTCTGTCGCCTTTTAAGACACCCACGGGAAGATATGGGGTAGTGGATATTCTTAACCGCCGCTACACGGCTATAGCTAATAGTGTTCTGTGGTACATTTGAATACTGGAAACGAATACTAATTATTTCAATGAATATGTTGTAGACCCATGCACGAATGGATCGACCAAGCTCGCATAGAATAGAAATAGCAGCAAAATGCTGTTAGGTTTTACATGTAAAACGATGAGACTAAGTCCCATTTTACTGGTTGTGAAGTATTATTTCGAGCTAGTAGTCCTCAGGGGTGATAATGCATCTGTATTTCATTCTAAATATAGATAGATAAATGAGTGCTTAAAAGCCACAGAATTCACTTTCCATCAGGTAGACTGTGTGCTCCTTTGTTCCTACACTCAAATCTACTTACTTCTATTAAAAAAATGGCTTACTAAACTATTAGGCTGTAACATATTCATTCTAGTAAACTGAAACTCTGAGTTTACTTAAGTGAATGTTCCATTTTGGAGTCTGATGGATCCACTACTACTAGTTGGTAGAACTCATTTTCTTGCCTTGGAGTCCATCTGAGGAGTTACTACTTTTTTAACTATATGTGCCTGCCTGCACTGCTGTGTTTCGGCCTATGGCTTGGATTTTATACGTAGTAGAACCATGCTACAGCTATATTAGTACTAGTTGTAGCACGAATGGGCCTTCTTGACCGGGAAAAAACCACACTCACAGAACACCAGCGTGAAATAGTAGCCTAACGCTGCTGTTTCGTATGGTGAGTGTAGAGAACCGGAGACCCTTTTTGTCAGGAGTGCCAAAACAATACATCGAATGGTAAGTTCGTTAGTCACCTTATTTCTATAAAAAATCCAGGCTTATCCACTATCCAGCAAAAGTGGACCGCAGTGGACAAATTTTAATCCAGTATGTAGTAGCTTAAAAATATCTTTGAAATAAAATAAAACTCACCAGCAGCTTTCCTCCGATTCCTTTGTTCTTCTTCACTCTTAGACAGTTCTTCTCTTGTATAGTGATAGAAGAATGTATCATATTCGTCGTATAAATGAGGTTTTAGCTTGTACACTCCACGGTTGTTCCCACCTTGTGGCTTCACAAAGTCTGCTACTTCATGAATGACAGCTTCTAAACCAGTTTCATGAAGTTGATCTTCTGGGAGTGACCTTGAAAACATTAAGAGTCAATTAATATTGTACAACTTAGTTACTTAGTTTATTTTCTTAAAATATCGCAAAAAAAGAACATAAATAAAGTTTTGGATCATTTAAAAATTTCAATTGGTGACTGGGGCTCATCTTTTCAGGTTATTTTTTTCAAAATGGCCTGATTGTCTTTTCAGATCATTTTGAGGAAAATAACCTGAAATGCTCCTAAAACAATAATAACTTTCTCTTGCAATTCTAGCAGGAATCAGAAAAAGGTTTTAAAACAAGTTAACATTTTATTGTTACTACTTACCTATTAAGTTCAGAATGTGGCATCGGCTTCACGCACAACATCTGAATGATCTCTTTCTTCGTTCTATCGTCATTGGTCACTTCGCCGACGCCCGGAACATATCGTGAACCAACCACTATATACAAAAATAAACGATTTCGTTTAAACAGTTCATTCATAATCATTAATTTATAACAGAACAATCAAAGTCCACTGCTGAACATAGGGCTTCCTTATAGACTGCCTCATAGGGATTTGCCAGTGTCCATGGGGTAGGTAGGAGATTGGCAGGGTTTTCTATTTGGTTGTTTTAGGAAGATCTAGAATATTCATGGTTCATTTTCGTCTGTCGTCTCTTACGACACCCACGGAAAGTTATTACGGGGTGGTATATTTACCGCTGCCGTTATTAGACGTAAAAACAGTTATTGACTTTTAAAAAGTAATTGACTAAATAACTTGTTTTTAAAAAGTTTAGAGGTTAATATGATAGACGTAATGAAGAAAACGGACAGGTTTCTAAGCATAAATATTATTAATAAACAGAAAAACATGTCAGTGCAATAAACTGCTTTTTCATAAAACTGCTAATGACAATTGATTTTGAATTCAGTGATTAATAACATTATTTTCAAAGCCAAACATATTATTGTAATATTTCAACAAAATCTAAGCTCTTTTCAGCATGGATTACAAAATAAATTACGGTTTAAAAAGTCCAGTAGATTCACAGTATATTTGATGCCTCTCATAGACCCAACTTGTTCTGTACTCGATTCCAGTAAAAAGAAATCTCCATTTTTCTACACTCACCATACAAAGCACAGCAGCATTAAGTTATTAAAGATGAAGTCTGTTCGTAATACACACCAGTAATGAGCAGCCCCAGGAACTCCTCCACCATGCTGCTGGTCTGGCGCAGCGTGTCGTACTCGACGTTCTGCTGCTCGAAGTCTGGCGCCGCCCACTCCAACAGGTTGAACTTGTTCAGCACGTGGATTATGAACTCGTTGCTCTCTATCAGGGACGCACCAATCTGTTTGTAAAAAACATCTTCATTGATCCTATCTAATAAACGGCAGCGCTTTTCTTGAAAGATTCACCAATGAACGTTGTGGTTAGCGTCGTAAGACGTTTTTTTAGGCTCGTTAGTTATACAGCCGCACAGACTCACACACACGCACGCAAGTACGCCCGTACACACGCACTCACGCTCGTAAGTACGCACGCACTTTCGCACCAACAATACATTCTGATATAAGCGCATAACACGCACATAAACACGTACACACCTACAAAACAGATACTTATACAAACGTGACGACGCACCTGTAGGTTCTTTATTTGTTATGGAGGTGATAGGCTAGGCTTCAGTGGTAGTCACTTTAATATTATAGAAAACATAACATCATGATGGCTGTGGGGATAAGTAATCATAATCTTGTTGACATGTCATGGGTCTTGGGTTCAAATTTCAGCTGAAGCTAACCATCAAACAAAAACAGAAACTGTTAAGTACTAGGTAACTGGTTGAAGGCATTGTGATAGTCTTTTATATCGGTCCCAAGTTAAAATCATCTAAGCTCTCACGTAAGCATGTGTGTCACGTTAACATTTAGAAGTCGTTGTCAAAATATTTAATATGCTTCAGACCAACAAATAAAAATAGACGGACGTACATTTTAAGTGACGTCGAAACCAAAACTATACTATAATACATACATAGTGGAACGGAGGTGTGGGCGGATCCCGTGTAGCCACTAAAATGTCACTAAGATGTCAATTCACGCGTATAAATGTCCCACGAGATGTGTTTTGACGAAATGCCAAATTGCACACTATTTACAAACAAATATGTATTAACATTTAAACGATTTTTTTTTTGAATAATGATCTTGAACATTAAGGTGGATGCTTCGACCGTCCGTCCATACATTTTTTAACCAAAATCTTCACTAAACACAGACACTCTTTCTTTAAAACTAATCATTTTATCACTTCTCTACAACGAAATGTGTATGCGTCTGACCTTTATAGGCAATAATTTACATTATATACTGAGAAAAACAATAGTGAAATCCCGGAAAAATTTTATACTTCTTTAGTAGTGTGCGTGACTTTTGACAAGAAAACGAAATGACTTTTGACAAGCAAACGAAAGGCGACGCGTTCAGAAACAAATATAATTCAGTTACATAAAATCCTTTTTTCTGTTCCGTGCTTTATTGTTTATAAATAAATAGCTTATTCTAATCTGTGTTATATTTTTCTTATTCGTCGGCCAATTCTACCAGGAATATAAAGATAACATTGAAATAAAAAGATAAGTAAATTTTTGTACATTTTAGTGTTCTGGATCTTGTGTTCCGAACGCAACCACGATCACATTCATATAGAATTGAAGGAAGATTTGTCTACGATCTGGACTATCTTCTAGTCGGCACTCTGCACCACTTGCGGATGCGATATATTTTATTCAAATACTTTTTTTTCTATACTGTTCTCTACTGTTTGTTTTTCTATATTTCAGATTTAGATTGCGTCTACAATGTCTGCTCAAACAAGCAAGGCGTCGTACAAACGACACGCATATTCGGGGAAGCGCAAATCATTGAAACAAGTACGATCTGCACTAAAACGATTTCATGATACAGAGAGGTAAGTAAACATGCATAATACAAGTAACTCTGTATCCGGCTTCTTAGTAAACACGGCCAAGTTTGGATCACAGAACACTATTACTCCTAGCGGAGAGTTTGGATGTAGGGATTTCGCGCTATTTCACGATCACACTTCTTATCGTACCTACCTACCTACTTGCCTACATTTTCTATAGACAAAAGTTTCACTCTTATATTTTATTACAGCCGTTTGAAAGCTTGGCGTTCTGAAGAAACGAAGAAGAAGCCATTGAATGAAGAAATCGTCATAGATAACTCTGTAATGTACGTATCAAATAAGCATGATTTATTATTGTTCGTAAAAGGAACACTACATGTACGTACGCACCTAAGAAAATGTTGCTTTGGTCGAAAACCATAAGATGACGTAAAAAAAACCCGCGAAATATTCAGAAAGGGGAAAATAGGTCTAGGATATAGGTTATATACTTTTATTATATGGTCATTACAATTTGATTTGTTTCTTTCAGTACTCAGAATACACAACCAAGAACATATGCGCGTGTAAAACCGAAAACCCGCTTAGAGGCCACCTACAGTGCTCCTAGTACTAGCACAGTGACAGCTGAACCTGTGGTTGAACCTTTAGAGATTAATTGGCCGCAAGCTGATCCTGAAATTGATTTATTTCAATTGATTGTGGAAGCTGTTCCAAATAAATGTTTATCTGAGATATCTGGGTATCGCATTGTGGACTTGAAGCATGTAATACAGTGGGCAATGCTTATGGAAAGACATCGAAATATGTGTGAATCTTCACAAACTGATTTTGTTGGTGAAAGACTTGATGGATTTCGAAGTGAATTAATTTTCAAGTGCAATATGTGTGATAAAGCATGGAGGCATTTTACGGAGAGCAGTGATAAAATAAATACTGCATTTGTGTGGGCAACTGTCACTTCTGGTAGCTTCTACACTCAAGCAGCTCACATAACAAGTCTTATGGATATTCCAACAATGTCAGCTAATAAATTTCGTCGTATTGAAAAAAAATTAGGCAGTGTGTGGTTCGAACATTTGACAGAGGAAATTAAAATTGCTGGTGAACAAGAAAGATCAATTGCAATTAAAAAAGGTCATGTGTCTTCAGATGGAGTTCCATTTGTTACTGTATATGTAGATGGAGGATGGTTGAAAAGGTCATATGGGCATAACTATGATTCATCATCTGGTATGGTAAGTTAATAATTTACTCAAAACAAATTTGGTTCTTTATGGCATTTTTATTTTGTGCAATATTTACAAGTGTTGCTTTTCATTTCCAGGCCTGCATTATTGGTAAAGAAACTAAAAAATGTCTATTTCTTGGTGTTAGAAATAAATATTGTTATACATGTCAATATTATGAGAGAAGAAACTTGGATATGAAAGCACATAATTGCTGCAAAATTTTTACTGGACCATCTACAGCAATGGAATCAGATATTATTGTAGAAGGCTTTCAAAAGAGTGAAGAAATACATCAACTTCGCTATTTGAGTTTTATTGGTGATGGAGACTCCTCTGTGTTTGCAAAATTGAAAGAGAAAGTGTCATATGGGAACATAATAAAAAAATTGAATGCAAGAATCATGTAATCAAAAACTATACTAGTGCACTCTACAAGGTAAATGAATAAATTAAATTTCTAAAGACATCTCAAGATCAGTGAAGTATATTATTCTGTATTTATATTTTGTACTTTTTAGATCTTGGCCAACACTAAGCTCCCTCTTTCTGGGCGAAATATTTTGAAGCCGAAGGTGATGAAGCTTACACTAGTAGCACGGAAAAGTATCATGCATAGCAGTGCGCATACTGCTATGGCAGCAGATTTGAGAAATGGCCCGCTTCGTGTATTCGGAGTACATGAAAACTGCAAGGATTATTACTGCAATATCAATAAAACATTGACAGATGAAAGTGAAAGGAAGGAAGAAAATCTCGTAGAAAGTCTGAAAAATAATGCTCCAGAGGTGTGGGCTCTGATTTATGCAGCCAATGAAAAAATTGCTTTGAAGGCAGGTCGTTTGTCTAATGAGACGACAAATGTGGCAGAAAACTTCATGAGTGTAATAAACAAATTCAACTGTGAATGACAGGGTGAAGAAATGTGTGATAAGAGAAGAGTGTGGTTTGCAAGATGATGTTGTGACCAGGATTAAGAAAGGAATGCTTCGGTGGTTTGGTCATGTGGAAAGAATGGATGAGGAAAGAGTGACAAAGAAAATTTATGTTGCAGAAGTGAATGGCAGAGTCGGAAAGGGACGTCCTAGGCGAAAATTTATCGACCAAATTGGCGATTTATTGGAAACGGGCCAAATTAGGAGTACCCTTAACCGACGAGCATGTATGCGTAGGTGTATGAGGCGAGGATGTGAAAGAGGCGAGAGAGGTGTGTCAGAATCGTGCCAATTGGAAATCTGTAGTCTCTGCCTACCCCCTCTGGGTGACAGGCGTGAGTGTTTATGGATTTATGGATTATGTTATTCCAGTGAAAAATCCTCCCGCAACATCAACATTAGTTGGAAGTTCATGCAAAGAATAGAAGTAAAATTTTATTTTAGAGCAGCTTTGGAGATTGAAGGTAATACAATTTTGAAATGAATGGTTTGCCATTGAATATTCGTCAAAAAGTAACAAATATACTAAGTAAGTTTTCTTTGCAGCAGCAGTGTAGCAGTGGTTTCAAGACAGGAAGTTTCAAGGCAGAGGGTGAAATCAACAAGTCAAATGATTTTTGTTCTAATTGTATTTTGGTAGTAGTTTGTTTAGAATTTTAACATTATCATTGCATATTTCTTTTTATTTTGTATTTAATATAAAATCAAAAGGTGAAATAATACTTCATTAGGCATACATACTACATAATGTGCTCAATTCAATAAACTGCTCTTTATATTATTTTTTTTTTCTAAAAGCTTTTGTTGAGTGCTTCGAAATTAGGAAATATTATTTTCACCTTCCTGGTTATTATCACAAAATAAATCGTGTTATAGATTTGTTGTTATCTCTTGTTTGTGAATTATAGTTTCTTACGTGTTGGTTATGAAATGTCTAATTATTGTAATAATTGGTAGTGTTACAAATCATCAGTGTTATTAGTTTTGAGTGAATTGGTATGTATCAGTATAATTATGTTGCTTCAAATAGGTACTTCTGTTTTGATAAAAAATTCAATAGTGTAATGTAATAAAATAAAACTGCGTTATATTGTAATCAATGTTGACATAATTTATTTCCCAAAGTTATAAATCAATTAAATAGTTTACGCCAACAAATATAAATTTTATTTTTATAACAATCGTACATAGCGTTTTGTAGTTCTACCTACCCAATCTACACATACACAAAAATTAAAAACTTGTTTTTTTAC